CATTTGCATACTGAAAAGTGGCGGCCATCTTTCCTTTTATACACCCAGACCCGCGGTTTAAAATCCATTCTGAATCGTTGTGGGCAGAATTGTGGACATGTGGTTATTCAAATTCAGGGTGTTAAGTGTCTGTGTGGTAATGTATTAATTTCGCTTTAGTTTTGAAAAATACATAGAAGTTTTGTGTAAATTTTAATGTTAGTCAAGTAAATTAATTGATCACAATAATATGTGTGTTATATATTACTTAAAAATCTCTCAACTAAATAATTAAAAAAAGAATCATGTATTGTCCAAAAAATTGGTGAATTCTGGAACATCAATTTCACAAATAATTGTGGAATCATAGCTTTCTAAGTATTATGCCAAAAGATATTGTAGATTTTATTTAATCCACAAATAAACACAGCAAAATTGTCATGCTGTAGACCCAAACCTAACCTGTAGTACACAGGAGTACCTTGTACATTTACATGATTTGGTTCAATTGCAGCAGTGATTAAAAACAATAGAAAGGCTTTGATCAATCATGGCACTGCTGTCAGATCCAAAGCAGCGAGAAAAGCTTGTAAATTTCATTAAGAAATACAGCAATAAGTTCAGGTAAGTCTTCAAGAACAGAAGGAGTTTGTAATTTTACAAAATTAGTGAATGTCCAGTTGTGTTTTTACTGGTCATGCTATTTATTTTAACTGTGGTGGTGCTATTTCTCACCAAGAGATATTATATTGCACATGCTCAGATGTGAACAGTTCTTCAGTGTGAAACACATTTTTAGCTCCGTTGTCGACTTTGTCGAGCGGAGCTTATCATATGAGTGATTGTCCGTCTCCGTCGTCCGTGTCAATGTTTTACTTTTTCGACTTCTTCTTGAAAACTACAAGCCTAAATGCTTTGATACTTGATGTATATGTACCTTGGGTAGACCTCTCTTAGGTTTGTTCATTTCATGTTGATATCTTTAATTCTCTAATTTTGGTGAATATTTTTGTCATTTTTGGTAAAAACTGATATTTTTGGACTTGTTAAAAACCGCAAGTGCAATTGCTTTGATATTACATCTATAGGTACTACATGTGGACCTCTCTCAGATTTGTTCATTTTGTAATGATATCTTCAATTCTCTAATTTTGGTGAATATTTTTGTCATTTTTGGTAAAAACTGATATTTTTGATTTCTTGTTAAAAACCGCAAGTGCAATTGCTTTGATATTACATATATAGGTACTACATGTGGACCTCTCTCAGATTTGTTCATTTTGTAATGATATCTTTAATTCTCTAATTTTGGTGAATATTTTTGTCATTTTTGGTAAAAACTGATATTTTCGACTTCTTGTTAAAAAACGCAAGTGCAATTGCTTTGATATTACATATACAGGTACTACATGTGGACCTCTCTCAGATTTGTTCATTTTGTAATGATATCTTTTAATTCTCTAATTTTGGTGAATATTTTTGTCATTTTTGGTAAAAAGTGATATTTTCGACTTCTTGTTAAAAACCGCAAGTCCAATTGCTTTGATACTACATCTATAGATTCTACATGTGGACCTCTCTCAGATTTGTTTATTTCGTGATGATATCTTCAATTCTCTAATTTTGGTGAATATTTTTGTCATTTTTGGTAAAAAGTGATATTTTTGACTTTTTGTTAAAAACCG